ATGTATATTAAGACACTAATTGTCGAGGTTAGATGAGTACTTTGAGGACCTTCAGCACCGCACCTTTTTTTTTTTTGTTTAGTAGAGTATTTTGAGGCTGTGATTGTAATCTTTTTGCATACAAAAATAAATGATCTAATTGTATACTTTGCCTTAAACTAGGGTCCTCAATGAAATATTCAAACTAAGTCACTTTTTATGGGAAATTTATCAAAACGCCCACCATAGTTGTACTACTTAATATTTTATATTTTTTTGCAAATATTCAGAGTCATGATCATGCTTTATTTGATGGGTATTTTGAAATTTAAATCATAGGTAGATTGTTAAATGAGTGAGGTTTATATAAGGCGCCCTCCTGATAATGTAGATGTAAGGCACCCTCCTTATGCTAAATATGTAAGGCGCACCTCTAAATTTTGTCTGAAAATGTAGCTCTGGTGTCGTAAATCTTATAATAGCTTGAAAGTTTATTTTCACCTATCGATATGCAATTTTAAAATTAAAAATAATATAAAATCTATAAACACTTGAAAATCTTAAAAATAGGTGGTCAAAAAACTTGTTGTAAGATCTACTATTTTTAAAATTTGAAATTTTTTCTTTTTTATATCCACTGTCAATATCATCAGTTGGAGGGTTTTCCAACATCAAAACATTATCTTTTAAAATTTTTTTGAGGTGCATCTTATGTCAATAGTACAACGACAACACTTTATCTGAAGGGAAAATCATAGATACCCAACCATATGTCACTTTCTAGGAATACGTGCTCCCCCCAATTAAAAAATGATTCTATATCACACTATTAACCCAACCCCAAGTAAAAAAGAAATAGTTTTTTACTAAAATAGCTTCATTTTAATGTTTTTATTTAATTATTTTCACGCTCCTACATTTTTCTCCCTAAAATAGTATGAAACAAAATGTGCTTGACGGACACAATTTTAGTATCAACCAGGCCACCACAATTTTAATGTAAAAAAGCAGTATGATATATAAAATGTATCAATTGATACATTTTTTTTAGAAGCTAAATCGATACATTTTGAAGATCAGAAATCAGTTTGGACCAAAAAAAAAAAAAAAAAAAAACAAAACAGTTCAGCATAAAAATGTGTGAAGTGATATATTTTAAAAATCAAAATTTAAAACTACATATTATTTATACCAGACTAAACCACATGCACCACATTGGGGAGAGAAACTGGATGTGTTCTTCCTTCTTAAATGGTTCAAAAGAACCCGATCTTAATTGGTTAGTATTTGATGATTTATAAAGCTACTTCCTAGGCTCAATTCGGCCCTGCCCGATCCCCACTCACTCACCCCAAGAAAAAGGAAAACACAGTTCAAAATTTCAAATCTCTAACGGCTAATTGGATAAATTTCCCCCTTTTTAATGCATCCATAAACCAGGTGGCAGAACCGAAATAAGCTCCAACCCAAGTGGCATTTCCACGCAATGCCACCCCCAAAACGATAAAGTCATAAGACAGATGGAGAAGCGCCTCATCCCTCCCCAAAACCCTCGAGAGAAACCCCCAATCCCTGCAATCCAATCCCTCCAAAGGCGAAACCTCTCTCTCTCTCTC